ACTTTAATTTTAGTTACTGCTGGTGTTTCGCTCTTCAGCTCATCTAATGCAAGAATCTTCCTCAAGAGCTCAGAAAGATTATCATCATTGTCACTGGGACCACCAGCAATGAGAGCTGCCATAATTTGAGTAGGGGTGGGCGATATATCGAAATTAACGATATTTTATCAATATAATGCGGTATCGATACGTATCGATATCGAAAAAAATTGAAAAGAAATATCGATACCGTGACCACGCCCACAAAATGATTGTATAACCTTAATAATAGTTAATTAACAACAGTCGCTAAGTAATGAAGTATCTCTAAACCGCTCCAAACACTTCTTTTTTGCAAAACAGAGGAAGTAACAGATGAAGACTAAGTCAAAACAGGTTAAATGAGAGTAATAATGCTTTTCTAAATCATAGTTTTTCTTGGAAATGGTACTTGAAACTTATTGGGCGTGGTCATGAAAATATCAAAATCTAGTATCGATATGAAACGATATTCATGAAAATATCGATATTATCGTATCGTTTTAAAATTTTCAATATCGCCCACCCCTAAATTTGAGCAGAGCAGTACGGGATAATTAATTGATTGATTAATTAAAAATTAAATAAGTGACGAAAAAATACGTAAGAGTAAAATTTAACATTCTACAAGCATAGTATCTTTCGTTAATTTAGAGCTTCTCATCCCGGTTACGTAGTATTCATTATCTCTGGTGATACCGTATATACAAAGAAATAATATTGAACGGATTTTTGTCCGCCATATTTTACGTCAAAGTTATGCAGAGTTCCAATGGCTGATGTGCAAAGTAGAGCTGTTTTGCCAATAAAACTTTTGTTGTGCTGAGCTCAGGACTATGAGAGGCTTCATATCAACTGTTCTTTACTATAGCAAGATATTTTGAAGACTTAAGAAGTCTGGGACAGCCAGAACGATCAGTTCTTGACTCTCTGTCACAGCCCAAAGAGGAAAGCAGGCTCATACAACAAGAGTATTGCACTATACTTCCTAGGTTGGCTCTCTTGGCATCTTTCTTGACTCTAGAATAGTTTTAGCTTCAAAATGTAGTGACCAAGATCTCCAGGACACAGAAAGCACTTGCTGCTTGACGTAAAACATGGCGGCCAATTATTGTATGTGGGCGTATACCGTAACTGAGATATAATGATATTCATTGCAAAATTAATGATATTCACAAGCTGCTACTTCTTGCCGAAAGGGGTCTATAGTACCCATTACTGTTATACTGTGTGTGTGTTATACTTCATTACAATTAAGTTACCTGATCTATAGATGAGGTCTCCACTGACTCCATTAGCTGTTCTACGTAGTATCCATCTTCTCTTTAAATCATATAAAGCTCTGTAAAACTTGTGATCAGTTTGACTGGATAATCTCTTGAGTGGTGGCTCAGCTCCTTTTCTTAATATCTTGGAAGCTACATCAAGTGCCTACACGAAAACTCATGATAATATTAAATGTACATGTACATACACAATCAATACATATTCATTAACTATCAATCTAATAGGGACAAAGCTCACTAAAAGAACTCCTATTGATCTCTGTACCTAATTATATTAAACACAATACAGGTAAAGGAATAGTACATTCACACTATGGCCAATACTATGCCTTTCTAATCTTCTATATTGAGGTACATGTATTGTGCATGCATAACTGAGTAAAGTAACAAATCATGAGGCTAACCTTCTTTTTAATTTGGTATTGATATGATGGAGGTAATGTGTATTTCTTATTAACATAAACTGGATCCAGTGACAAGTATTGATGATGATTATGAACAATTTGTAACACATCAGACAGTACACTAACTTCAGTCAATGCTTAGACAAAACTAATAATAAAGTTTAACTATCTTTTATGTATGTAATACATTGATACAAGATTTACCGTATGCGTCTTAATTTTTGAGGTGTATTATATTTCGTTATTTTCGTGCTCACCTTAAACCCACAAAATTAAAACCATCTCTAATGCCATTCTATTGTATGAAGACTATGGTCAGAACACAAAAATCAGCTCACACGAATATTAATTTTGAAGCACATTTCATTGAAAAAAAATTTTAAACACTCAAAAATTTGAATGTATACGGTATACTCTTGTTTATACAAATTCATGCATTTATGTACTTGAGTTTTGAGTGTGTGAATTCCCATGGCCAGCGATGACTTGGTTTCTTAGTTGTAGGACCAGAAACTCCCTCCTCCACCTCCTCCTCGTTTCTTGTTTCCTTCTTCTTTGTCATTATCATCATCAGCTCTCTCTTCTCTAAAGTCAACATGCTGAGCTAATTTACTTAGTTTCTGAGAGGGAGAAGGTCTCCTACAATTTAATCATATAAACACATAATACTTGCATGTACAGTAATTCAGTCTAGTGTACACTGTACATAATTATAACTGCATAATTTGTATGCTGCCTAATACCTTTAGGTAATTATGTACTCTTAAAGCTATATATAAGTATTATTTTATGTTGTCACTTTATTTTAGAATTCCCAATTAAAATTAAAAGAGTCAAGAAATAATGAAATAACATGTACTCAACTATAATTACATTATGTATTATTATAATAAATGACTGCTACCCTTCATATATCTCTTCTCCATCATAGTTGATCTCCTTGACTCTTGTAGTATGGAGTGATTCCACTGAGACCTTGAAACCAGCATCACTATTGGACGCCATGTGTGACTTGTGGGCAGATCAAGTATAAACAACGGTTAACAACCCACTTTAAGGTGGGGTCCAGGCTCTCTTTCTCTCTTCTCTTTCGTCGAGTCTTTTGTTTAGCGTTACAGTTCATTTTCACCTATTCTCTTGCTTTTACTTCTTAAAAGTAACATACTTCAGTCATTGGCATTGTTATGATTTATTTTCTTCATAGAAAATGGCAGAAAACACAAGTCCAGCTATCACTATGACTTGTGAGGTTTGTTCAGAGTATTACACTGACCCCCTCATGCTTCCCTGTCTTCACTCATTCTGTAAGAAGTGTCTCATAAAAGCTAAAGAGAAGCAAGGTAGTGCTGATACCTCATTAAAGTGTCCAACGTGTGACACTAGCGTTAATTTACCTGATGGTAAAATTGAAGGCCTCACTCAAAACCTTTGGTTTGAACATAAATCAAAAGAGGCTTCAATCAAAAGGAAAATTGTTAGCAAGGAAGTAACATCATGTGATAAATGTATTGTTGATGATTCCAGTGATCCAGCTGTCGTGTATTGCTGTGATTGTGGCCAGTTTTTGTGCGATCTCTGCAAGAAAGTTCATAAGCGAAGTAGGAAAGAAGCCAGTCACAAGTTAATTGATTTAGAAACAAAGGAATCCATTGAACTGCCTACTGTCAAGCATGAAGCCATTTATTGCATTCAACATTCAGAAAAGCTGACATACTACTGCAAGGATTGTGATGAATTAGTTTGTCAGATTTGTCTTAACATTCACCATAAAAGTCACAACTACAATTATTACATAGATGAAGGTGACACAGCACGTAAAGCATTAAAGGAAAGTGTTGCTAGTTGTGATGGAGTCATTCCTCCAGTCACTGAAGCTATTGCTAATGGAGAGAAGATGCTAGAGCAGATAGCAACACGTAAAGAAGAAATGAGGCAGGAAATGAAGGAAACGTTTGAAAAGCTTAAAGCTGCTTTAGATAAAAGATGCAATGATCTACTAATGGAGACAGAAGAGATTGCTGGCACTAGGAGAAATTCTGTCGAGAAGCAGTTGGACAGGTTTCGTAAACTGGTAAAACAGGTTTCTCATGGTCGTCATCTTGCATTGTCAGTGAGTGAGCGTACTGATCCAGGTGAAGTTCTCAGTGTTAAGAAGCTAATCACCAATCAACTAGAGGAATGCATTGAAGAGAGTAAGAAACTACCTCTAGAAATAGAAGATAAAAAAGTAGTTTTAGCACGCCTTGATATACTTACTTTAAGTAAAGAAATCAATGAGTTTGGAAGTGTCTCCGAGGTTTATATAGATCCAGCTGCATACTGCATTGATAGTGGGTTAACTATTCCATTGGCAACAGTAAAGAAAGAAAGGAAATTCAAAGTGGCCCTACCAGCAGGCATTGATAAAGCAGCAAGCTATTTGAAGGGTTCCTTTATCAAAAGTGATGGTAGTAAAGAGGAGAGTAGAGTTGTTATAGTTAATGATAACAACACAGCCATTGTATCATGCACACCTCAAAGTATTGGTCAATATGAACTATCAGTGACTATAAGAGGTCACCATATTAAAGGTAGTCCTTATCAACTGTCAGTAAAAGCATCAAGAGACTACACCACACTAACTAACCAGAGATCCTTTAATGTGAGGAATGAAACTCGTGGTGTTGCTGTTCATACTAGTGGTGAAGTATTTGCTAGTAATTGCAATGATGGATTTGTTCAAGTATTTAGTGAGGATGGTACTGCAGTAAGAAAGATTGGATCCAAAGGTAATGGTAATGGAGAGTTTGAATATCCTTGGGGTTTATTGCTGGTAGGAGACAGGCTTTATGTGTCTGATAATAATCTTAGTCGTGTGCAGTATTTCTCAGCTACTACTGGTCAGTATATTGGTCAGTTTGGCAGTGAAGGTAACGGAAATGGACAATTCTCTCGTCCTTTTGGTATGTCTACTGATGGTAAAGGTAATATATTAGTAGCTGATTACAGCAACTATAGAGTACAAGTGTTTAAAGAAGATGGTACATTTGTACAAGTCATACAATGTGATGGTACTGCATCTGATGTAGCAGTTGATAATGAAGGAAAGATACACATTACCATTAGTGATCAACATCATGTTCAAGTCTTCTCTCCTGATGGTAAAACTCATCTTAATACATACAATAATCCAGCTGGTAACTTTAAATATCCTAATGGTATTGCCATTGATGATGAAGGATATATCTTTGTCTCAGATTATAATGGTGGCACCTCTCATCTTCATGTATTGAGTCCTGACAGGAAACAAGTCAAATTAATCTCAGGATTATCTAATCCATGGGGTGGAGCACTGGATAAGGATGGATGTATTTATGTTGCTGAATATAATAAAAAACGTATAATGAAATATTAAAGTAGTCGTTCCAATAAAACTGGAATAAACTATAGATATAGAAAAATAATCTTACAATTTATTGTATGAAATGATGTTTTGTCACTCTGCATCTCTTTTTCCTTCCATCTCTCTTTCACACACAATTCTCTCCCTCCCCCTTTCTCTCTCCTCTCTACTTTAAGTGACTATTAATTACTATTGTTATTAATAGATTAATTTGATTCAAAAATTTGAAAATAAAGAAAAAGTAGAAAATCTCAAAATATCATCATCATTATATACTAGTACATACACATGTTCCTAGTGTACACTATAATACATTATACATTATGTTTTATACATCATAGTTAGACCACTAGGTGAATCAGTACCTGATAATAAACTGGGTCTATACTCTCTCTTCCATTTCTATTTGAATTTAAACTATAGTTGTTTCTAAATAATCACGTAAATATGCCACTGCTAATGGCTGACGTCTTGATACAATATTAACCAGTGTTGCTGGTACTCCTCCCATATCAACCTATTCAATGTACGTCATGTTTGACTCCACCCACAACCACACCCACCTGCACAAGATACATGACTTGTGTGAGTAGTTTTTTTTATAGCGATAAGGTTTAATGACCCACCCGCTAGTCATGACCTAGTAAAACTTTGTATATTCTAGTAATCTCATTACATCTCTCTAACCTTTCCTGTTGTGCAGTTTCATATTATATAATACAAGTTCCTCATCACAAATGATTGTACAATCTAAACCAAATTAATACAAATACATTAATTATTATAGTACAGTATTATACCTGAGCAAACAGTTCTTCATTGAAGAGCACATTTTGAGCTGATTTAAGTATCTGCTCCCATGGAGTTAACATCAACTGTTGCTTATGAAGCTCAATGAAACAAGACGGCAACAAAGAATCAAGAGAAACAACCTCTGGAACAAAAACCACATGAACATGTACACATAGATGACATGTACAATCATGTGATAGTCATGTGACGTACCATTACCTTTAATAGCTAGGTCTGTCTGCTAGGAATATAACTACTTCACTCCTTCCTCTTAACTCTTGAGGTACCACTACTGACAGTATATCATTAGTACCTTCAATTCCTTTATGAACCTCAAACTGAACTCGTGAACTGACTGAGCATACAGTGAACCAGCTGCAATAAATAATGATAGTAATGATTCATCAAAAAAATAGAGAGAATTCTTCATTTACAAGAACATAAAAAATTTAAAAAAAACAAGATGAAGTAGGATTCTAGAGCAAATTTGTGAAAAAGTAACAGAAACAAGGACAAGTAGGATTCCGAACGACCAACGAAAATACGAAATGAAATCCTACTCTCGTGACGCAAATTCTACACTACACTGTACTTTTAATATTTTTATTAAGA